GGCTGAGGCAGGAGAATTGCTTGAACCTGGGAGGAGGAGGTTGCAGTGAGCCGAGATTGTGCCATTGCACTCCAGGCTGGGCAACAAGAGTAAAAAAAAAAAAAAAAAAAAAAACCCATCAGGGAGGTAATGGTGTTTTTTGGTTTTCTTTTGAAACTCACTCTGTTGCCCAGGCTGGAGTGCAGTGGTGTGATCACAGTTCATTGCAGCCTAGACCTCCTGGGTTCAGATGATCCTCACACCTCAGCCTCCCAAGTAGCTGGGACTACAGGTGCAAGCCACCATGCCCAGCTAGTTTTTAATTTTTTTGTAGAGATGGGGTTTCACCATGTTCTCCAGGCTGGTTTCAAACTCCTGGGCTCAAGTGATCCTTCTGCCTTGGTCTCCCAAAGTGATAGGATGACAGGTGTAAGCCACCAGCCGGACCAGCAGTTTTAAATTTGTATACATCTAATAATGTAGTCAAAAAAATATGAAACCAAAAACTGCTGAACTACAGGGACAAATAAATTGACAGTCCCTGAGGGAGATGATTTCTTCTCAGCAGACGAAACAAACCCTAAAAAGCAAAAATAAATAGAAGGTTGAAAGACAATAATGGGTACCTAATGGACTTGTATATAGAGCACGGCATTCAAGGGCTGCAGAGCACATGTTCTCTTCAAAGACAAAAACAGGCAAGAATCATTGACAAAAAGTAACTATATATTGAGTTTTAAACAAGTCTCCATAAGGCAAATTTCAAAGAATTGAAATTATTCAGAGTATGCACCCTAAACACATACAGTTAAACTAGAAATCAATAGCAAAGATATGGCCGGGCACACAGTGACTCATCCCTGCAATCCCAGAACTTTAGGAGGCCAAAGCGAGAGGATCATTTGAAGCCAGAAGTTTGAGTCCAGCCTGGGCAACATAGTGAGACCCTGTCTTTATAAAAATAAAAAAGAGGCTGGGTGCAGTGGCTCACGCCTGTAATCCCAGCACTTTGGGAGGCCGAGGCGGGCGGATCATGAGGTCAGGAGATCGAGACCATCCTGGCTAACACGGTGAAACCCCGTCTCTACTAAAAAAAAAACTTCACAAAATTAGCCGGGCGCGGTGGTGGGCACCTGTAGTCCCAGCTACTTGGGAGGCTGAAGCAGGAGAATGGCGTGAACCCAGGAGGCGGAGCTTGCAGTGAGCCGAGATTGTGCCACCGCACTCCAGCCCCGGGACAGAGCGAGACTCCGTCTCAAAAAAAAAAAAAATAATAATAAAGTAAAATAAAAATAAAAAAGAAAGTAGCTAGATGTGGTGGTATGTGCCTGTAGTCCTAGCTACTCGGGAGGCTGAGGCAGGAGGATCACTTGAGCCTAGGAGTTAGAGACTGCAGTGAGCCATGATCACACTACTATAC